CCGCGCGCGCGAAGGTGGGGGGCGCGAGGGGGGCGAATGGAAGTCAAACGTGGCCAGCGAACCTCGCGCTTGAACTGTAGCGCCCTGGCGCGTCCCAGCAGCGCGCGGTCGGAGGCCCGCGGGTGACCCGGGTGCTCCAGCAGCGTCGGAGCCGCCGACGTACCCTTCTTCGCGGCATCCACGAGCTTGGCAGAAGCGACTCTGGCCTCCTTCTCATATTTCGCCAAAGCCTTCGTCTTGGCCGATGATATATCCTCGCCGCCCGTGGAATCCGAAGCGGCCGTTCTCCTGCTAGTCCTGCCTGCATGTTGCCGCCACCCTCGTCGACGCCGATGGTCCCCTCGCCCATCTGCCGCTTCTTGCTAACGAGTGTGTCCTTCGAGCTCATCGACAAGAAGCCGTCGCCAACAAACACGCCTTGCCGAAGAACGTGTCGCCCCAGCATGGTGCGGTGCGCCTCTGGCGGCTTTTTGTTGTTCTTGTTGCCTTCGACAGCTTGATTGTCTTCGTATTGTACACGGCCTCGTACTTTGCGCCTCTCCACGCTGGGGATGCGCAGTTGAAACCGCCCGCGCGGACCATTGTTATCCCGGTCGATGTTGCGGTCGTTCTTCAGCTCTTGCCACCAATCATCAACTTCCTCACCCGAGAAGCCCTGCACCTGAACCGCCCGGATGAGAAAGGCCGCGTGGGTCATCGGGGCGTCCGCCTCCGTTTGGCTCTCGTGCGCCTTCTCGCCGCGCACTCGGGCGAACTGCGCAAAGTCGATGAGGTTCTTCCGCTTCAGCTCTGGCGGGCTGTCTTTGAGGAACCCCACCGCCCATGCGGGCGCAGGTTGCTTGCGAAACTTTGCGCTCTCTCGTCCTTCGCCCCCCCCCCCCCCCGCATGTGGGCCGAATCCCAACCAACTGGGCCCAATCCCAACCAACTGGAACCAATCCTAACCAGTGCGAAAAGCAAACTGCGCCCAATCCCAACCTTCTAAGGATAGCCTCGCAATACGATTTCAAGTGTAGAGAAACCCAAGACGACTGTGAAAATCAAGTGGCACCTCTTATATCAACGAACAGGTTCTGGAAGCCAACAGACGTGCCAGAGTTGGAATGTGTCTCAGTTTTGGTCTGCGTCGCAAGAGCACTATGTTAAGATGAGCAAGAGGGCACCGAAGCGTAAGCAACACCGCACCGAATTGCATCGATTTTAGAATATGCAAAATGGATCCCCCTAGTGGTCGTAGTAGTAGTAGTAGTAGTAGTAGTAGTAGTGGTAGTAGTAATAGTAGTAGTAGTAATAAAAGTAGTAGTAGTCGTAGTAGTAGTAGTAGTAGTCGTAGTCAAAGTCGTAGTCGTAGAAACAGTAGTAGTAGTAGTAGTAGTAGTCGTCGTAGTCGTAGTCGTAGTCGTAGTAATAGTAGTAGTAGTAGTAGTAATAGTAGTAGTAGTAATAATAATAGAAAAATAATAGGGGTCGTCGTAGTAGTAGTAGTAGTAGTCGTAGTAGTAGTAGTAGTAGTAGTAGTAGTAGTAGTAATAGTAGTGGTAGTAGTAGTAGTCGTAGTAGTAGTAGTAGTAGTAGTAGTAGGCGGTGGTAATAGTAGTAGAAGTAGTAGCAGTAGTAATCGTAGTAGTAGTGCGAGTAGTAGTAATAGCAGTGGTAGTAGTAGTAGTCGTAGTGGTAGTAGCAGCAGTAGTAGTAGTGGTCGTAGTAGTAGCAGTAGTAATAGAAATAGTAGTAGTAGTAGTAGTAGTAGTAGTAGTGGTAGTAGTAGTAGTAGTCGTAGTAGTAGTAGTAGTAGTAGTAGTCGTAGCGGTGGTGGTAGTAGTAGATGTAGTAGCAGTAGTCGTAGTCGTAGTCGTAGTAGTAGTAGTCGCAGTCGTAGTAATAGTAGTAGTAGTAGTAGTAGTAGTAGTAGTAGTAGTAGTAGTAGTAGTAGTAGTAGTAGTAGTAGTATAGTAGTAGTAGTAGTAGTAGTAGTAGTAGTAGTAGTAGTAGTAGTACTAGTAGTACTAGTAGTACTAGTAGTAGTAGTAGTAGTAGTAGCAGTAATAGAAGTAGTAGTCGTAGAAGTAGTAGTAGTAGTAGTAGTAGTAGTCGTAGTAGTCGGTAGTAGTAGTAGTAGTCGTAGTAGTGGTATAGTAGTAGTAGTTAGTAGTAGTAGTCGTAGTAGTCGTGAGTAGTAGTAGTTAGTAGTAGTAGTAGTAGTAGTAGTGTAGTAGTAGTAGTAGTAAAGTCGCTGTCGTAGTCGTAGATAGTAGAATATGTCTAGTAGTAGTTAGTAGTAGTAGTAGTAGTGGTAGTAGTGAGTAGTTAGTAGTAGTAGTAGTAGTAGTAGTTAGTACAGTAGTAGTGGTTAGGTAGCCGTAAGTTAGTACTAGTGGTAGGTTTAGGTTGGTAGTAGTAGTAGTAGTAGTAGTAGTAGTAGTAGTAGTAGTAGTAGTAGTAGTAGTAGAGGTAGTAGTAGTAGTAGTCGTAGTAGTAGTAGTAGTAGTAGTAGTAGTAGTAGTAGTAGTAGTAGTAGTAGTAGTAGTAGTCGTAGTAGTAGTAGTAGTAGTAGTAGTAGTAGTAGTAGTAGTATAGTAGTAGTAGTAGTAGTACGAGTAGTAGTAGTAGTAGTAGTAGTAGTAGTAGTAGTAGTAGTAGTAGTAGTAGTAGTAGTAGCTGTAGTTGTAGTCGTAGTCGTAGTCGTGGTCGTGGTCGTAGTCGCGGTAGTAGTGGTAGCACTGGTGCGCAAAAATGCAATTCGCGAGCGGGCGGCCCCCCCGGATGTGAAATGGCGCAGGCCTGTAGGCCAACCGACAAACCAACCAACCAGCAAGGCAGGCAACCAACCAGCCCACCAGCCAGCGAGCCAACCAAGCAGCCAACCAGCCAAAGAACCAGCCAGCCAGCCAACCAGGCCACCAACCAACTGCCAACCAGCCACGAGGGGGCGGAGCGCGCCACGAGGAGGGCTCCAAGAAGGCCCCAAAAGGGCCCTAAGAGTGGCCCAGAGAGACCCCAAGAAGGCCCCCAAAGTGCCCCCTTTTTCAGAAACATAAAATATTGTTCGGTTGTTATGCCCGCCCCCTTCCGACAAATAATTGCTCGTTCGGTTGCTTTTCCCTCTTGCGGCCGTTTCGGGCTCGTCTAGGGCCCCCTGTGCGACGCCACTCCACTGGACCCACCGGCACCCCTCGAAAGTGGCGACAGGTTCGCAGATCGCACCCGCCCCCCCAGGGATGGCGAGGTCCAATCTGACTCCCCATAGGACGTCACTCTGCTGGCCCCCCCTGCAGCCCTCGAAAGTGGCGGCAGTTTTGCTGCAACGAGAATCCTAGAGGCCCCCAGGTGGCAAGAGCGAGCGACAACATTCGGCATCGCATAGAATGGAAACAAAAAACTAAGGATCCCCTAGGAATTCCTAACGATTCCTAGGGATTCCTGAGGATCCCTAAGGATTCCGAAGAGCCTGAAGATTCCCTAAAGATTCGCTAAGGAATTCCAGAGGATTTCTCAGGCTTCCGATGGATTCGTATAGATTCCTCCGGATTCCTAAGGAATCCGGAAGGATTTCCCAGAATTCCTGGGGATTCGTGAAGATTCCTAAGGATCCCCGAAGGAATCCGGAGGAGTCCTGAGGAATTCCGAAGGATCCTAAAGAATGATAAGGATCCTGGGGGCGCCCGAAGGAATCCGGAGGAATCCTGAAGAATTCCGAAGATTCCGAAGGAATCATAAGGATCCTGAGGATCCCCGAAAGAATCCGGAGGAATCCAAAGGAATTCCGAAGAATCCGAAGGAATCCTGAGGAATTCCGAAGAATCCGAAAGAATCCTGAGGAATTCCGAAGAATCCGAAGGAATCCAAAGGAATTCCGAAGACCCCACCCATGGTTGTAATTGGTCTCATTTCTGGTTGGAATTGCTTTCATTTCTGGCCTGGAAAAGGGAGGCCGCCACGCTAAAGAGCGCCCCAGACGATTCCGACGGAGTCGTTAACATTTAAACAATAATAATAAAAGAAACTCCCGAGAACATGCTCCGAAACTGCCCGCAAGGAATGCCAGCAGGCTTCGGGGTATCTCCGTGAACATGCCGCGACAGCACCTCAGTTTGCCGTGCCATCGTTTTTGGATCGGTGGTGGGGATGCGCAAAGCGTCCAAACTTTCACGAGGTTCCCCCCTGCCTCTGCGCCCCGCGCCCACAGCACTTCGAGCGCCCCCCGCCCCTCCTCTGCGACGTCTTTCCCGCGGCCCCGCTGGTGCTCGACGCACTGCGCCCCCCTCTTGCGGAAAGCACACCACCGAGCGCCTTTGATCTTCAACTCGCAGCATCCAGCAGCAATGCATCGATCGCCGCCGCCCGCGGACGCCTTCAGCCCACCGCGGCGGCCGCCGCCGCCGCGACCCTCGCCGCGGCCGCGGCCTGCGCCGCGGCCGCGGCCCGCGCCCGCTGGCACAGGCGGCGGAAGTGGTCCGCCAACCCCCGAGCCCATGTCGTCACCGAAAGGATCAGCGCCCTCCATCGCTGCGTTCGAGGCTCTAGGCGAAGGAGCCGCGTGCCAGAGCAACGCCCCGCCGCAGCCGCCACCTAGTGGTGACAGCCAAATGTGCACGCGCACCCACCCCCCTCGCGGAGAAAGGGGGGAGGTGAGGGTCGCTCTTTTTCTCGAGCAACAAAGGGCTGCAGGATTTCCTGGATCCTCCAGGACAGTCTGATTATATTTTCTATAATCACATATATGTGTAAAACTACAAACTTCCCAGCACCTCTCCTTGGGCGCTGGAAGCGGCTCGGCCTCCAGCCGAGAAAAGTGAGCCACAAGGAAACCACTTTGTGCTCCCTTAGCAGGCCTCGCAACGGCGCTGCCCACCTAAGCCCATCGCGGGGCTAACCGCAGAGGGCAGGCGCGGGGCAAACCGCAGCCTGTAAAAGAAAGCTCACCTTCGGCTGTCGTAGTGCTTCCTGCGACCATTCTCCTGGCCCTCTCCGTGGATCACCTGAGAGCCTCTGGAACGGTCTCAGCACTCGCTCTTGAACGTCTCGATCCACTTCTGCGCGGCCTCTGGACTGCTGATGTCCTGCAAGCTCAGCTTGGCAAGAGGTCCACGCGCTGTAGCCATCACCCGCAGCTGCTCGATCTCTTTGGCCTGGCGATCCGACAGAACACACCCGTGCTTGATCATCCTCGTGACCAGGTCCTCCTTGATCCCTGACACGGCCAGGCTCTTGGCCTTCAAGACAGCTCGCAGGTCAGCTACAAGAAACGTGCTTAAGAGCTTGTGCCTTGCTCCTTTGTCCTGCTGTACACACACGGTCTTGAACTCGACGTCAGCCCGCGCAGATGGTGTGCAAGTGCTTCCAGAGGCGGGGTTAACCGCACCCTGGAGGAGGAACTTGTCGTAGAAGTTCTTGAAGTAGCAACCACACCAGCACCCCAGTAAAAACACACTGGCTGCAGTCACCACAACAAGTCCCAACTTCAGGAAGAACCAGAACTCCTCGCTGTCCACGTAGTGGCTGACAGGCGCGGGGCAAACCGCAACCTCGTCAGAACCTCCGTACACTGTCACCTTCTCGCCTGACACCTTCGTCACGACCTCCGTGAAAACTGCCATCGCGCTCAAGCCCTTCAACTGCTTTCCGAACCTGAGGTTGAGAGTGGTGCAATGCTTCTCGATTGTCGGCCACTCGCTGTACTTCGTGAGCATGTCGGCTGTCATCTTGCTGGTGTCCTCTTTGTGAAGCTCGAACGCCTTGAGACGCAACCGCTCCTGAATCCACAAGTACCTCAACTCCAGGTGCCTGACCTTGCCCACCCCAACTCGGCTGCACATCCCACGTCCAGCTGTGCTGTCACTATAGATCTTCAGGTTGCAGGGCCTCTGGGTCTCGATCAGGTAAGTCTTACACTGAAGTCCTCTGGCTGTCGCACTTCCCGTGGCATACATCTCGGATTCCCCTGAACTTAGGGCTATCGTACTCTGCGTCACTGAGTAGCAGTCCCAAGTGTGGTCACCATACCTCACAGCTCCTCCACTGGTAGATCGCCGCTGTAGTTCACTCGTAGGTGCCCAATCCGCGTCACCATCTACACGAATGCCTTCAGGAGTACCTTGAAGTGGGTAACACCAGACCAACACAGGCTGTCCTTCGTAGTACCTTCCAAGCCGCTGAACACGCGCATGCATCAAGACGTTCGGGTTGGAGACGTGCTGCATCGCTGTCTTGCTGGCGTACATCGTGTCGGGCCTGTCCGAAGAAAGGTAAAGAGCGGTGCCAGCTGCACCCGCCACTTCTCGAGCACGATCCTTGGAAAGAAGGTCTAGGCTGTCTCGTCGGCCTTGTCCTGTAGCTTTCGTTCCTGGAGTGGGAGCTGGTTTACAACCTCGCTTCTGCGTCCACTTGATCATGAAGTCCACATGCTTGGGATCGGCAGTCCAGAAGAAACCTGGCTCCTCGCAACCTGGTAACTTGTCGGTGTAGCCGATCGTCCTCTTGAGGTATGTAGTCTGCCCTACCGCTCCTGGTCCAAGTCTGGCGCTGGCCGTGACCTCAAACTGCTGCTTCAACAACTCGTCCAGCTCGTCCAGCTGCTCGTCGTAGCCTTCAGCAAGAAAGTCATCGCCATGGCAGATCGCTGTGCTATCCTCGTCGAAGGGGGCTGTGTTGGGGCTAGCAGGTAAGTAGAACACGTTAGGAGTTCCGACCAAGCATTCCCAATGACCGTCGTCCATAGTAGTTCTCACAAGCTCACCCCACATCTGCGACGCCTTCCTGGTGCCGTTCATGGCCTTGCGTAACCACCAGCACCTTCCAGGCGGACACAGCTCTCTCCCAGGATGCACGTAGATCGTCTCGTCTAAGTCAGCGTTGAAGAAAGCCTTCCTGACGTCCCAGACTTGTATCTTCCGCAGGTGCTGCCCGCTGGAAGTTGGACTTGAAGCGGCACGGCTCAGCGTCGCTCTGACAATCATGAGCGGGGGCGTGCCTTGGTGGTTGTCCTCCCTGACCTCGTACTTGTTCACCTCGGTTGCTACGAACCTCCACCTGACCTTTCCTTCTTTCATGTGGGCTATCGGGAAACCTCCAATGTGCTTGCCGTCGGTCGCCGTCGATGTCGCCACTTCCACGTAGACCCCGTAGTCCTTCATGGCCTGCAGCTCGTCGTCGCGACCCTTCTGATACAGGTCCTCATCCAGAGGCTCTCCAGTGTAGTAATCGTAGTGTATCGTCTTTGGGCTCCACTGGTCTTTCTCATGCAGCTCGGCGCTCACCTCAACCATCTGCTCCACCTGTTGCTCCTCAGGATCTCCTAAGTGGCTCCTGATTGTGCCGATGTGGCTCATCAAACATCTCCTGCATGCACACTCAGCTTGATGGCATTCTCGTAACTGGCATCGTGATGAGTGCTTCTCACACCTCTCGGAACATCTCGCACTGCGCTTTGGGTGTGGATCCCACATGGGGTCGAAGCTCTCGTCGTAGCCCTCCTCGCAGACTGCCAACTCGCAGACAGAGAGATGCCCAATGCTTGCTACCCTGGGCTTCTTGACCTCAGCTCCTTCACGAACTTCACCTGGGGCACTTCGCCGAAAGTCGCTCCTGAGCTCTCCACTCTCCGTGTCCATGGCTGTCTGCACCTCAGCCTCTCCTGGGCCAGGAACCATAGCTACGTCGCTGGCAGCAGGTGCGGGGCTCACCGCAACCTCACTGCTGCTTGATGCCGCTGCTCCTCCGGGTGCGGCTCCAGGCGCGGGGCTTCCCGCAGCCGGCGCTGGCACCACGACTGTAGCCTCAGGGGCCACAGGGTCCTTCGCCAACTTCTCGCGCAGCAAGTCGGCCTGAATGGTCTCGAAACGCTGTCGGCAGGCTGCCGAATGCGAACCGTATCCTGTACTGCACTTCCTGCAATCGTCGGTAGGACCATGAGCATCGATCATGCGCTCCGTGATGTACATGCTGCGTCCGATGGTTCCTGAACTCTTGTCGGGCGTCTGCTTCCAGGGCGTCACCCTGATGTGCTGGATGAGCTCGGGCTGCCACCTGAACTCCTCAGGCATCCTTCGCACCGTTCTGACCTTCTGCACTCCACGTTCAGGATCAATCACGAGATGTGTGTCGTCCAGCTCGCTCTTACCAACCCAGATTCCTTTTGCGAAGCGGGCTTCCCATTTGCCACGTCCCGCGGCAACTCGGGCTGAGATCCGATACCAGACCTGCTCACCCATCTCCGCAATCTCGCCGTTGTACTCTTTGCCGTAGAGCATCTTGTAGGAGGAACCTCCGTGACTGCGAGGCTGGAATCTGGTGATCATCCACCCCACCGAGTTCACAAGCCATGGCACGATCGGATCCGTCATCTTGATCTCGCTGCCCAGCTTGTGCTCCAGCTTCAGCTTGTAGGCTCGAAGTAGACCAGCTGCTAGCTTGTTACCTCCTTCAGCGTAGCCTGCACTCTGCTTGGAAAAGGGCGGTGATCCCCGCACCAAGGTTGAGTGTGATCTGCGATCTCGAACTGCCTGCGCCAGAGCCATGGTGGCAGGCTCCTGGTCTGTCTGAAGTATGACTGTTGTGTGACCCCAAGCTTCCAGCACGCCTAGCAGGAAGGACACCTTGTAGTCATCCATCTCCTTGTTCGCGTACAACGTCGCCTGAGCCAAGATCTTACAGTCGATAACATTCAAGACAGAGACCGCTTGGTCTATCTCGGCCTTCGTGATCGACGTCTTCTCCCTGATGCTGAAGTAACCTCCTTTAAGCTTGTACTTCGCAGCCAGCTGGTCCGTCCCTACGTAAAAGATGTCGAACACCACCTTCGGGATCTTGTTCTCATCAGCTGGTTCCTGAGCGTGGTGGGGGTCATCGTCCGCTCGAGCCTGCACGCAGATGGGACACCAAGGCCGAAAAGGTAGATGATGCCCTTCGTGCGCGGCCCTCTCCGCAGCACTAGGTTGATGAGGAGTCTTCAACACTCTCGTTGGCACAGTTGTGGTCTCATCGGCTTCGGGACCTAGAACCTTCGGCAAAGATCCAGCTTCCTGTTCAGCTGGTACCTTCCTTGGTAGTGTCTTTCGTACCGCAGCTACCTTTGAAGCTTCTGGTTGAGTCTGGCCGTCGATGATGTGATCGTACTCTAAGTAGTAGTTGCCTTGGTGACGACGTAGAGGTACGAACTCAGCTCCGTCAGGTGGCTCGATGGTACCGTTGATGATCCAGTGACCTGCAGGGCTATGAAGAACACTCTGACCACGTTGTACTACAGCGTCTGTAGCCACAACTGGGTACTCCACATCGGCAACCTCAGCACCGACTTGAATAACCTCTCCTCCTCGGGATAGGTTCAGCTCCACGTGGCCGTACCTCTCGATCTCCTCGCCTCCTATGCCCTTCAAGCCGACAACGTTGCTGTCCGTCGGCGTGTAGTTGTGCTTGGTCACCTGTGACCTCGGTATCGCACTGATCTGCGCACCTGAATCTAGCATGATCGCATTCCGAAGCGGGGCTAACCGCAATCGGTCATCCGCAGGGCTCTGATCTTCATCCACGGGCCGAAGACCAGCGATGGTAACAGGCCTGGGGCCGGCCAGCGCGGGGCTCACCGCAGCTGGCATATCGCAGTACTTACAGCCGTCAGCGACGAATCTAGCCTTTCTTGCGCTTCTTTGGCTTTGGCTTCTTGTTGTCGTCTGGCTCTTCCCCGTCCTTGAAGCTGTCCAGGCAGTACTCGGCACACACGGCACAGTAGTCCAGCTGCCACTGATCGTAGTGCCATCGCCATCCTTCAAAGGTCTTCTTGCAAGAGCAGCAGTCATATTGGTAGTAGCCAGGCAAGCAGTACTTCCAGTCGATCGTGTGGTTGCGCTTCTTGTGACCTCTGCCCTCAGGGCCAGAATCATCTTCGCTTGTAGCGCACAGTTGACTGGGCGCAGCACCTGCTGAGTCATCGCGCTGTCGGCGCTTCCCTGACTTCCTAGCATCTGTTGTGTCGGTGCTCCCGAGCTTGATCCTGTGCCCACTCCTGTCTGTCGTAACCTTTCGAGCTCCCTGACTGCCGCTGCCCCGATCTTCTTCTTTTCTTTTGCCTTCTCTTTTCGGAACTGCTTCTTGTCCTTCTTGTCCTTCTCGGCTGTCTTCTTCTCGTCGGCGATCCGCTTTCGGCAGTTTGCGCTGCGGTGGCCCTTCTTGTGGCAGTAGTTGCACTCGATCTCGGCGTCGGGATTCGTTGGCTTCTCCTTGCCTTTGCCGTCTTTCCCTTTGCCGCGGCCTTTCCACGGTCTCTTTCCGCCCTTCAGCGCTCCGATCTCCATCGGGTCGTCCTGAACCGCTCGCTCTGCCATCAACGCCGACACTACCTCGGCTCTCAGAAGCTCGTACGTACTTAACCGACTGCTGTTCCGAAACACGTGCTTCTGCAGCTCGTCGTGATCCTTCAGCGCCTTTGTGAGGATGCCGCGCTTGATCAGGTCCGAGACGGGCTCTCCTGCCATCTTCTGGTACCTCGCCATGTCCTCGTCCAGCTTGCTGATGCTCACCATCACGTCTTCCTTGGCGTCGAACTTCGTGTCCGTGAGCTTGGTCCACATCGCCAGCACGTTGCCTGCCTCGCTCGGGTTGTACTCCTTCTGAAGCTTCCTCCAGCACTCGGCTCCTTCTCCTACTGGGCTGTTCCTCACGATCAGCTCGCCCACCGAGTCCTCGGGCATGGCCAGGACCAGGCCGTAGTACAACTGCGTGCTGAGTTCTTCCTCCTGCGGGTCCAGGTTGACGTTGTCCACCTCCTGGGCTCCGTCCTCGCACCTTTCCAGAAGATCTCGGTACCTCCGATCCTGGGCGATCAGGTACGCTCTGTACTGGAAGCTGAACGTCTTCCAGCTCGACCTTTGGCCGTCGAACGGCTTCACCTTGTGAAGGATCTTCGGATCCATCATCTCGCCGCGCGGGGCTACCCGCTGCTGCTGAGCCTGCTGCTGAGCCTGCTGCTGACCTTGAAGCTGTCCTCTCATCTCTGCGATCGCCACGTCCCTGTTCTGAAGCTCCTGCCTCATGTTCTGACTCTCCGTCGTCAGCCTCTGAACTTGATCGACCAGTTGCTGCAGCTGCTGCTCCATCTTGGTCGTCGAGCACGTCAATGACACGCTTCTCTAGCCTCTCGATGTCGCTCGCCAGCTGCCTCTTCACCGCTGCTCGCTCCTCCTGAGTGAGCTTCGCCGCGCTGCCGCACGCCGCAAGCTTCCTAAAGGCGCTCCCTCGGAGCTGGCGGTGCTGACGCGTGTCCGCCGCTCTGCCTCCTCGCTTATTCGGCTTCTTGGCCTTCAGCGTGGCCTTGCCCTTGCCCTTGCTGGCTGGCTGGCCTCCGCTGCCAGAGCGCGGGTCTGACCGCAGCTCTGACCCGCAAGGGGTCCTTCGTTCGGCGGCCGCGTGGATCGTCCCGCTGGCCGCTGGACCCGCGGCGTCGCGCCGCTGGGCCCTCTCGAGGGGCTCCTGGAGCTCGCCTGGGTGCGGAGCGGCCCGCGAACCTCAAGCGAGCTCCGCTACCATGCACGCGCACCCACCCCCCTCGCGGAGAAAGGGGGGAGGTGAGGGTCGCTCTTTTTCTCGAGCAACAAAGGGCTGCAGGATTTCCTGGATCCTCCAGGACAGTCTGATTATATTTTCTATAATCACATATATGTGTAAAACTACAAACTTCCCAGCAAAATGGCTATGAAACCGCGTTGAGGTTTAGGGCCCAGGGCTTAAGGCTGAAGGTTCGGGGCCGAGGGCTTAGGGCTTAGGGTTTAGCGGTAAGGTTTCAGGGATTAGGGGTTAGGGTCCACTAGCCCAAACTTGCAGCCCACTTGACCGTGTCCCACCCACCCATGACCCAAGACATATTGATCTCGATGCGGTATCAACACGCGACTCGCAAAACGACGACGAGGACGACACCGATGACGACGACGTTGATATTCTTTTCAAAACGACGACGACGCGGCCGCGCAAAGACACCTGGGACGCGGCTGCATAGGCGATGCGGCCCGCGCGCGTGACGACCCGATTTGAAGAACCACGTTTTTTGACGCGAGTCCCTGTGCGATGCAGGGACGCCGCCCAGCGGCGGAGAGGTTGCACGCAAGATCCACGTTTATTGACGCGAGTCCCTGTGCGACGGAGGGCCCCCCGCGGTCGCCGCGGGCGCACCGCCCAGCTGGCCCGCGGCCGCCTGCGCCGCCGAAGGGTCGGCGCGCCACCCCGCGTCCGCCGGGCCGCCCTCCCGCGAGCTCGCAGAGGAGGGGCCGCAGCGCCCGCGGCCGCCTCGCCCGCCGCGGGGGCGGGCGCCATTCCTGGCGCTCCGAGGCCAAGGATCTGCGTGAGGGGCGCGCCCTGGGATTTGCAGATCCTCCCAAAACGCCATTCCTGGCGCTCCGAGGGCAAGGATCTGCGTGAGGGGTGCGCCAAAATGGGGGGGGGGCGGCCGAAGGAGGGACTTAAGGGGGGCGGAAGGGGCATCAGGATTTTAATCTTTATAGGCTCTTAGTTTTCAAGGCTTGCAGGCTTGCGGCCCAGGGTTCGGGGCGTAGGGTTCGGGGCTTGCGGGTTCGGGGCTCAGGGCTTCAGGGATAGCGCTTAGCGATGGGGGCTGGGGCCCAGGGATTAGGGTTTAGGGCTCAGGGGTCAAGGGCTCAAGGTTTGAAACTTAAGGCTTAGGGCATAAGGCCTAGGCAAATGGCGACAGCCGAAAGACTATGAGAACGGGTTTAGGACAAGAGCTCAACCCTCCCTCCTCCTCCTCCTCCAGCTCCTCCTCCTCCTTCTCCTCCTCCTCCTCCTCCTCTTCCTCCTCCTCCTCTTCCCCCCCCTCCCTCCTCCTCCTCCTCCTCCTCCCCCTCCTCCTCCTCCTCCTCCTCCTCATCATCATCGTATCCTCCCCCTCCTCGTCCGCCCCTTTCCCCCTGCTTATAGCGCCTGCGCGCGCGTCCAACCTAACTAACATGCGCCCAAGAACACCCCGAACACCCGAGAAGACGCCGATGTCTATTCCAAATCAGCGTGAGAAGCCCAAGACGGCCGCGATCGTCGTGGTCGGACCCCCGGAACAGGGCGGCGCGAGCAACGGTTCTGTCTTCTTCGTCGGCGGAGCAAACAGAGCGGACAGAGAGAACCGACAGAGATAGAGCCGACGGAACCGACAGAGCGGACAGATCGGACAAAACGAACAAAGCGGACGGAGCGGGAAGCGGACGGGGCGACGCACCCGACGCAGCGGACGCAGCAGACAGCGCGGACAAAGCGGGCACAACCGACAGAGTGGAGATCGATCTTTCGGGGCTCCCGGAGCATGGCGGCACGAACAGCGGCTGCGCGACAGGTGGGCGGAGCGAGAAAAGCGGACAGAGCGACCAGAACTGACAGAGCAGACAAAGCGGGCAAAGCGGACAAAGCCGACAGAGCGGACAGAGCGGACAGACCCGACAAAGCCGATGCGAGCACAATGAGGAGGACGGGAACAACACGAGAAAAAGCAACGAAGAAAAATGATGAAATGCTCTGAAATGCAACTATGCATTGTTTTGCGCCCTACGCGCCGGAACAGGGCAGCGCGCAGAAATAAACGGTCGACAAACAAACAAAAAACGCTCAAAACTAATTTATCTGAATGCGAAACGTTCCGTAGCGCAGGGGGCCCCGACGCAAGGTCTCGAGACCGTTTCTGCCTCAAGACCACGCCATTTGAACGCATCTGCTCAAATGGTTTGAAAACGCGAATTTCGGATCTCACTGGTCTGAACGTTACCCGAGGCTATATATATGTATGTATGAATACGAAACGTTCGATAGAGCAAAAATCTGGACGCAAGATCTCGGGGGCCGTCTCTGCATAGAGGCCCAGACGATTCGAGCGCAACTGCTCAAATTGTTTAGAGACAACTTCGGGCCCCAATGGTCTCCACGTCGCTCGAAGCTAATTTATTTGAGTGCCAGGCGTTCGATTGCGCAAGTATCCTGACGCGAGGTCTTGAAAACTGCCCCTGCACAGAGACTCAAACCATTTGAACACATCTGCTCAAATGGTTTATGGACACACTCTCGAATCTCAATGGTCTCATGCTAATTTACAGGAATACATAACGTTCGATGGTGCTGGAATTCTGACGCAAGGTGTCGAGAACAATCGTTCTGCGCAGTCCCAAAGCATTTGAACACATCTGGCATCCAGTTTCGGGCCTCTACGAACGAACGATTTGCATTCAAATAAACCAGCCTTCAAGCGCGCTCAGGCGATAGAGGAAACTGGTCTCCACAAGCCACCTGAGCAGATGTGTTCAAATGGTTTCGGCTTCAAGCAGAGACGGTTCTCGACGCCTTGCGTCGAGATGCCCTGTCGCATCGAACGTTTCGCATTTAGATAACGGGGCCTCGAGCGACTATAAAACCACAGCCATTAGTAGATGTGTTCAAATGTTTGGGGCTCTACGCAGAGATGGTTCTCGACGCCCTGCGTCGGGGTCCCTGCGCAATCGAGCGTTTCGCATTCGAATAAATCAGCTTCGAAGTGCGTCAAGATCGCGCAAGAATTCTGACGAAAACTCGAGAACGGTCTATGCCTGAAACCCAAACCATTTAAACGCATCTGCTTGAAGGCGCCAATTTCGGGTCTCAACGGTCTGAACGCAACTCAAGGCCAACTTATTCGAGTGCGAAACGTTCGAAACCGACGCAGGGTCTCGACAAGCATGCGTGCGTGGGAACTTAGCTCATTTCAACACCTCTACCGAAACGGATTCTGGACGTCACTTTCGGATTGCGGCTCCAATTTCGGGTCTTGTTTAAATTCGATAACGCAGCGAATTCCACCTTAAAATGAAACCGTTTGAACACATCTGTACCCTCGGGTCTGGATTTGGGCCGGCTGCGCTCTTGGGTCTGGATTTGGGTCTGCCGTGCACTCGCGTCTGGATTTTGGCCGGTTGCACTCTGGAGTCTGGGTAGCTGCACTCTCGGGTCTGGATTTGGGCCCGCTGCACTCTCGGGTCTGGATTCGGGTCTCAAAACTATTTCCCAACCATCCTGTGGTGTTGGGCCCTCGTTTTGAAGAGACGGTGCCCCGCGTTCCTCTCCTCCTTCCTCCTCCCCCTCCTCCCTCCTCCCCCTCCTCTTCTCTGTTCCGTCAGAATGATCATCTGCAGCATCATCCTCATCCACATCCTCATCCTCATCATCGTCTTCATCATCGTCCCCACCGCCCATGTCGTCACACCCCTCACACGTTTCGTGGCCCCATAGGGAGCTCCACCGAAGGTCCCACTGGGGGCGTTCGCATGCGTCTCCCCCACCCAGGACAGCGTTTCGTGGCCCCATAGGGAGCTCCACTGAAGGTCCCAACAGGGGTGTTCGCATGCGTCTCCCCCACGCAGGACAGCGTTTCGTGGCCCCATACATAGGGAGCTCCACCGAAGGTCCCAGTAGGGGTGTTCGCATGCGTCTCCCCCACCCAGGACAGCGTTTCGTGGCCCCATAGGGAGCTCCACCGAAGGTCCCACTGGGGGTGTTCGCATGCGTCTCCCCCACCCAGGACAGCGTTTCGTGGCCCCATAGGGAGCTCCACCGAAGGCCCAAGTGGGGGTGTTCGCATGCGTCTCCCCCACCCAGGACACTGTTTCGTGGCCCCGTAGGGAGCTCCACCGAAGGTCCCAATAGGGGTGTTCGCATGCGTCTCCCCCACGCAGGACAGCGTTTCGTGGCCCCATAGGGAGCTCCACCGAAGGTCCCAGTAGGGGTGTTCGCATGCGTCTCCCCCACCCAGGACAGCGTTTCGTGGCCCCATCGGGAGCTCCACCGAAGGTCCCAATAAGGGTGTTCGCATGCGTCTCCCCCACCCAGGACAGCGTTTCGTGGCCCCATAGGGAGCTCCACCGAAGGCCCAAGTGGGGGTGTTCGCATGCGTTTCCCCCACCCAGGACAGCGTTTCGTGGCCCCATAGGGAGCTCCACCTAAGGTCCCAGTAGGGGTGTTCGCATGCGTCTCCCCCACCCAGGACAACGTTTCGTGGCCCCATGGGGAGCTCCACCGAAGGTCCCACTGGGGGT